GGAGACGCGGTGGCAGACCGGCTGGTCGCTGTGTTCCCCGGCGTCAGCCGATAGTCAATTTCAGCAGTGGCTGAATGGGGACAGCTGGGGTGCTGCTGGGTTGGTCCTGCAGCCCTGAGGGGCAGCACTACGGGACCAACCCAGCAGCACCCCAGCTGCTCTGCCCCCAGTTTCCCTGATTCAGCTGCTGGTCAATTTCAGCAGCGGCTAAATCAGGGAAGCTGGGTGCAGAGCAGCCCCAATTGTCTGGCTGCCCGGAGCACTTCCGGGTTCCCAATGGTGCCGGACCATCAGGAGTGCTGGACCACTGGATGCCGGACCAACAGAGTTTTACTGTATGTCTGTTTTATATATAACATATATAAAACACAAAATGTAGTGATAAAAATGACATTACATGACATTCCGGACAAAAACCAATAAAAAAAAGTCTGTAGTCACTTAAATTCACAGCCAGTCCATAGATCTTCAGAGAACTTGACAATTGACAAACATCAAATGAAAAAAAAACACCTTTAAAAATACAGTAATATTCTCACATTAAAGTAAGCATCCCCATCATATATTTTAAATTTAACACTACTGCCCTATTACGTCCTGTGAGTTTTTTAAAATTAAACTGAACTGAGAAGTAAATTAGCACAATTTGAAGTGCCTATTTCACTCCAGCTTGTTAATCTCTGGTATGGTTTTCTCATTTTTTTAAAACTTATGAATATTATGGCTTTTTATAATTCTAAAAATTCAGGTCTGTCCCAGACTGCAAATATGAGAGATTCAAAAACAAGAAGGGAGAGACTCATATCTCAGAATAAATGCTTCAGCCTGGCAAACAATAGCCTTTGAATTTTCTTTAAAGAAACACAGTGTAAACCAGGCACATGCTGATTCTTTTTTTCTCCTGGAATTTAAATATGACATCTGTGTTGGCTGCCTTATTCTGCATCCATGAAGACTTTGAGTTTAAAATGCTTCAGCCCCCGATCTAACCCAATGCCCTCCCTTTCCCCCAGAGACAGGCACTTCCACCCCTCCCAACCCAATGCCCTCCCTTTCCCCTGAGCCAGGCACCCCCTAGCCCTCCCCCCCTGCTAACCCAATCCCCTTTGCCTCCCCCAGAGCCCAACACCTCCAGCCCTTCCCCCACTCTAACCCAATGCCTGGGTCCCAAAACCGCCACCGTCATGCACTTCTCCCCTCCAGGTGCTGGGGCGTGTGCGCAGAGCGGCCAGCCATGAACAGTCCAGGCACACGGCTCAGAACTAGCAAGAGCTGCATTTCTTTAAGCAAAGAGCTGCATGTGGCTAGGGTAGCCATGTGTCCGATATTGAACCAGAGGGCCTGGTATTTTCATCTACTGTCCAGTAAAAAAAAAAAAAAATCAGAAAATACCGGACACCTAAAATGTCCAATATTTTCTGATTTTTTTCCTGGCCAGGAGGAAAAAATCCCAGGTGCTAACTGGGTTCCACAGGAAAGCTGTCCATCTCAGCGCAGGGAGGCAAGATGGCGTGTGGCCACCGGCAGCTTGTTGGGCCAAAAAGCCTCAAAAGTGTTTCTTAAAGGGGTCACGCTTTTTTTATTTTTTTTATTTTTTTTTTTATTTTTGGTTCGGTATCTTTTCAGAATCCATATGGCAACCCTACATGAGGCTCGAGAACCGTGGGCTGGCCACCCCTGCATTATACCACTGTACCAAGAGCATAACCAAAATTAATTGTGGTCAACACAGTCCCTAAGGTGCTGCAAGACTACTGGTTGTTTAAGTTTGTCCAGTTACAGACTAAACCAGCTACCCCTCTGGAAATAAATGCGCAGATAGCACCGACTTTGCATAATGCTATGCAAGCTTAACAAAAAACCCTCAAAATGCACAGCGCCATCTAGAGTCATATCCACAGTGCTAGCTCAAGACTGGATACATCAGGAGGAATCAGTTCTGCTAATTATTCATTACTGTGGCTAAAATGTGCGTAGTACGTCTTTTCTTTTCCCCTAAAGCTTCTCTCGCACTCTTTAGAATACATTTTGTGCCTCCAGGGGAGCTCGCCACCCAGTTTGAGAACCTCTGTTCTAGACAATGTTTCCTGTTGCCATTGGCTGATTAAACCAATCCAAATTAGGTGCTGAAGAAGAAAAACATCATGGGGAGAGGGGGGAGAGAAACCCCAGCCCTAGAAACAAAGCTAAATTGATGGGATGTAATGGAGGGAGTTTTAGAAAGTGCAAAGGATTACTGGATTCCAACAATTTTTTTTTTTTTTTTACTAAAAGCATTTCAATTAGAATTATGACTGCCTGCCACCCAGTTTGTCGTCCTTCTCTGCAGTTCCTCTTTTTAATGCACAGTTTAAGTGGCTCTCATTAAAACTACTAATAAAGGAGAACATTTTAAGTGATTAGCACCAATAACGTGGCAACACATTAACGTTCTCTCCATGGGCTCCACAACTCTCCCAGAGAGCCTTTTTATAGCTCAGCTATTCATTTTCCATATTAATCGCAAACTCATTTTGCTGTACCAAACATCTCCATAATACAATCCATTGACACAGCAGTAAGGGTGGGGGGGGATGTTCAAAAGTGACATTTTATCTTTTTTTCCCCCAAACTAAAGGGATGGTGGGGGCACGGATTGGGAGTATGAGCCCAAAAAGAAGACCAGCTCATTAGCAACAGATCACTGGATTGTGTAAAAGAGAATTTTCAATATCCCTTAATTTTTTTTAGTCTGGTATAAAACTGCGTCCCTCTCCCTCTCCCTCTCCTCCTCCCTCCCTCCCCCTTAAATTTCTAGAAAACCTGACACTTGACCATAGACAAAAACTGCATGGCTCCGTAACTGCTCTGAAACTTTAATTTCCCAAATAATAGCTTTCAACATATTCTCTCTATTCATATTGTGTTATGGGTGTACATGGCTCTTAAAAGGCAAGAGAACACGACTCCCTTTCTCTGGGAAGCCCATGCACATTTAGACTAATCTTGATCCATGGATTGGCTTTTTATACTATGATATGATCGGTAAAAATGTTAGACTATCAGTGAGAAACGTTAATATTATAAAGCATATTTTGGTGGTTATCAGATTAAAAACAGGATAGAAAACCATTTACCAGGATATTTTCCAACCCTCTTTTCGATAAAGACTAAACAAGGGAGACTCATCTATATGATAGTAACTGCTTGAAATCCATAGCTGAAAGCTAGCCTTACTGAATGGGGAGATTCAGTTTTTAGTTAGTAATTCCAGGTCTTTGGTTGGTACGGATTCCCTGCTCTACAGAGCCATGTGTGTCTATATTATTTTGTAATATTATAAAGAGATAGTACTCAATTTTTTAAAAAAAGTATAAGCCAGTCACCAAACCAGAGGATCTTCCCATTCTAATCTTCTCCCATTTTAAATCCACACAACTATTACCTCCCAAAATGGGGATGCTATGTTTTAACCACAGCAGTGACGCACTGATGCCATAATATATTGGAGATGGATACGGCAGATGTTAGGGTGTCACATTGACATCCATAGATGCAGATACCTGTGAATATCCATGGATCTGACGGGCTCTATGTATACGCACCCAGTCAGTCTGTGGCCAGTTTCACTGATTCAGTTGGCAGGCAGCTCTTTATAAGTTTGAACCAGGGGGTTATGAAATCTGACAAGACACCCATTTCTGTACAACCATACAGGGATGACAGAGCAAGTCCTGTATACAGGCAGTCCCCGACTTACGTGGATCCGACTTATGTCGGATCCGCACTTACGAACAGGGCTTTCTCGCCCCGGAGCTCGCAGGCAGCGGGACTGCCCAAAGCGCAGCGGTCCCGCCACCTCAACCTCCGGGGCGAGAAAAGCTGCTCCGGGTGCCTCTGGTCTGCTGGGGACCGTCTCCAGCAGACCAGGGACACCTGGGGCGAAGCCAGGGAGGCGGAGGGGTCCCCAGCAGACCAGGCTTTTGTTGTGGACCCTGGGGTAGGGCAGGTAGGGTGCTGCCGGGTTGGTCCTGCAGGGACCTACCTGGCAGCCCAGCTGTTCTGTCCCAGGCTCGAGATTCAGCCGCTGTTGAAACTGATCAGTGGCTGATTCCAGGAAGCTGGGGGCAGAGCATTTCTGCCTCCAGCTTCCTGTAGTCAGCCCCTGGTCAGTTTCAGCAGCAGCGGCTGAATCTGGAGCCAGTTCCGACTTACATACAAATTCAACTTAAGAACAAACCTATAGTCCCTATCTTGTACGTAACCCGGGGACTGCCTGTATAGGGTAATTCCTGGTTGTGGGGATGTAGAGAAGATCAGGGTTAAACCTATAAACAATTGTATCAATCGCTGGCATTGGAGAGAGTAGGGAAGATGCTTGTGTGGTCCAACGGCAATATGAAAGATGTCAGATTTTACCTGTTGCTTTTGTTATGGAGCTAATCTTAGTTTCAGTAAGCACATGCTCTCCTGATCAAAGAAACACAAGTCTCACAGAGACTCTTCAAAGTTATACAGTGGGGATGTTAAATACTGGTTAACTGAATAGTCGAGTAACCTCATGAATTCTTATCAGTTAGTCAACTATTCTATAGTCCCTGGGGGTTGGGGCGGCAGCCAGTGCGCTCCAGCCTCACTCCCAAGGAGCCCCCGCCACTCTGCACTGCTGCCTATATATCAGAGACCAGCTGCCTGCCTCATAGACCAGCTGCCTGTCACACTGTTCTGCTGCCTCCGATATAGCGCAGGGGGGCAGCAGCTCCTGCTTAGGGGGAGTCTGAGCTCCCAGACCTGGTGCGAACTGGAACTGAGCTTTAAAATACACTTTAAATGCAGAGCTGCAACAGGGGTAGGCCCTGGACCCATCACAAGCCAGGACTTAGCCGGGCTGCTGGCCAGCATGCTAAAAAATTACCAGTGAGGAAGGGGGAAAAAGCAAATACGTGTATTCTAGAGCATTAATTGATTACATTATTACATCCCTATTATAAAGGAGATGGTGGTAGAAGGTCCCATCAGTAAATGCCTTCTAAATCCAAGTCATACAGAATAAACGTGATAAGGGGCTACCCTGTAAGAAGTCTGTGACCATGTTGCAGAAGTCACTGCTAATTTGTTACCTCCTTTTTCTTTGCATATTAATATGAAGAAGCTGTCCAACATTTCTCATCTAATTTCCTATTTTAAGCACTTCTAATAATAGCTGAAAACTAGACTTGTTCCTGGGAAGACTCAAGTACACAATTAAGAGCTGAACACGAAGAGAACTCTATTTGTGGTATTAAGCATACGATTACCACAAGGTACATGGCTGGGATGGACCTGTTAAATTCAACAGATGCAGGGCCTAGTTAGAAGGACCCAGCTCTGTCAATGTAGGAGCTCTGATACCACACTGCACTGGAGAAAAAAAAACGTAACACTTGAATATCACTTGGCAATATCAAACCCTGTTCCTTCCCGCACTTCCACTTGAAACAAACAAAAATGTTTCCCTCCTATTCCCTCATTTTTAACCAGATGAAAATAAATGGCTCTAGAATATAGCATACCCAGGAAGAGAATGCCCCATTTTTGCAGCTCTAGCCATGGATGTATTCCCCCATCCCTTTCTGAACATTAAGTTTATTATAAGGAGAGGCACCATCTGTCCAGTAAACAGCCCTCTGGTAACAGAAATGCCACCAAAGAGGATATGTACGTCATTACATAGATCATGCAGAGAACACTCCAATAATTATAGCCCCTATATCCACCATTACTGAGTTTGTAAGCACATTTTTTATGAAAAATGCTCAGCAACAATCAATACAAATGCAGTTTGTATTTAACAGACTTATGAGGGTAGCAAAAAAATCCTACAACAATACTGTCTTTCAGAGATGTCTCCTAGCAGTGGGGAAAGGGAAGCTGCCATAGCAGCTCTAGTGCTGGCCCTCCACAGAAAGGGATCAATAGAGCTTTCATCTTATCGAGGCAGGCTTTAACATGGCATCAATTGCACATGGAGATGCAAGATGGGTTTCTGATTGAAATCCGCTCCCTAGACAGAGTGGCTTGATCTCAAAGACTCAAAATTAAAGGATTTTTCCATCAGTTTTAGTCTGGCCTTGATGTGTGAGGAGAGTGTGGTACAAAAAGCCAGCTATACCAGTAGTTACTGTTTACAGAACTAGCGATGAGACAACAAGAGTTTAGCCCTTCCTAACAATGACTCTGGGTCTAGCACAACCAATGAAAATTTACCACACAGCTTTATATTAGTCAGTTTCTGCAATAAGAACATTAACAAGGCAGACAGCCAAAGCTTACCTTTTGCCAGGCGTTCCAATCGCTTGCCATGCTCTGGTGGTATGGCATACCTAGGGGAAAAACAAAACACTCCGATAATTGCCGAATCTCAAATCAAGAATACAGTCACCGACGGGGAACAGGTGGGGGCGTGAATGTGGTAATCATCATTACTATAATGAGGACTCCCAAGTACATTAGAAAGTCTGTAGGCCAGTTCCCTTCATATTGCTCCTCAGCTCTAAGACAAAAGTCATTTATCCAGCCTGCAAAGAATAACAGGGCGAAGTCATACCCCAAACTCTCCTTGTAAAGTAAAGTGAATTTCTGCCTATAGTGATCTGAAATTGCATGATCTAGCAGAGAGGATGACAGGATTTAGCCTCAAGATTTAGCCTCTAAGCTGATTTAAACTGACAGCTATAAAAAAAAAAACCCAAAACAACTGTCCAAAAAACCCACGGAGCATTTACTATATTAATGTGCTCCTAGTACCTTTTGATGGCACTTTAAATTGTATAATTATCAAACAATTTAATGTGTCTTGGACAAAATTACATTTATCACTTACATAAAAATGATAACAATAATCCCAATCCAAAACTCCGTTGTGGGATTAATGTCCCTTAAATATGAGAAATTAAACATTCCATTCCTTCTGGGAAAATACCGAAGGATTGGAAAAGTAGTAATTTATGTCTACAAGCCTGCTGCTGATTAATGTAATATCCCCAGTCCACAATGCTACTTTCACTTAATTAGTGCCTATAATTGGGAGTTGTAAAGATAAGATTAATTGAATATGGAAGATGTTAAAAGTTTAATACATTGAAACATGGTCATTGTGTTATCTGAAACTGCAGACTGCAAAAAGCTGAGCTGAGTCCATGGAGAGCCTGAATAAAAGAGTTGCTTGGACTGGAACCCAGCAGAACTGAATTTCCAGTGTGCTCACAAAACCTCAAAGTATAAAAATCTACAGGTCAATATCTCTGCCACGACCACAAAGCTCGCATGTGCACACAGTGCAACAACCAGCTCAAAATTTCCAAAACTCTTTACTCTGAACAGACTACTGCAAAGAAGAGGTGCTGTGCCATTTTATAGATCTGATTTTGCTGCTTGCTAAGAATAGTCACCAAGTGGAATTAAAAATGGGCCAAATTCAGCCTTCAATTATACCATCACAATCTCACTGAACTCAGTAGGGTTGCACTGAGGTGTGTGCAGAGGGAATTTGGCCAACTATATTTTAAGACCAAAAGCGGAGAAAACTCTGCCTTTCCATTGTAAATATTGTGCAAATTTGGGCTAACAAATCCTATATGATCAGACATGAAATTATCAACTAGAAGGTGAAAGAAAAAGGAGGTGACAGATTAGAAATTGCCACAATCAAAAGAATTACTGTAATGATATCAGTGAAAGGTCTGGATATCATGGATGGCCTACTGTCATTATCCTTGTGCATTCACTTAACTAACACTATGAAAAACGGCAATTGCTTTAGGGATAAAATCTTTGAGAGGCAGCTGGAAAAAAACATTAACAAGGCAGACCGCTAAAGCTTAACTTTACTATGCGGCTACTATTCAATAGGAGCTGCTGTAACATCTCTCACGTACCAATAGTTTGGACTCTGGTCAACAATGAAACAGCTTTAATTCTCACAACAAATGCTTTACTATACACCAGTGGTCACCAACTAGTAGATTGGGATCTACTGGTAGATCCTGGAGCCTCTGACAGGTGATCCTGACTGGTTTGGCTGGGAGGCTATCAAGCGCCAGCACTTCAGTGGCCTCTCCCCACACTGCCCTGCTGCTCCTATCCTCTGTCCCCAAGAGTCTCCTGCTGGCTGTGCATGGTGGGGCAGGCAAAAAAAGAGGCAAAAGATGTCAGGGTATTCCTTTTCCCCCACCCCTAAACTCCCTCTCCACAGAGTGAGCAGGGTGGGGCATTGGAGAGGGGGCAGGGAAGGAGGTGGGGCCAGGGTATTTGTACTTGAGGTAGATTCTGGATTGATTTAAATTCAAAAAGTAATCTTGTACTTAAAAAGGTTGGAGACCACTGCTGTACACCATCTCTGTAGCTACAATAGGACAACGGGACTACATTTTGTACATGATCCTCTTCCTTGTGACACATGCATCATGTTAACACTTGGGAGATTTCTACCTAGTGCTGAACAGTAATTTAATTTCATATTTAAAGCATTCTCGCTCTCATGCTGAGACAAATCACTTTGATGTTTATCCTCAGGGGACACATCAAAATGTTATGAAAAATCAAAATATTAAATTAATTAACCTCAGGATGAGGTGTCAAAATGAAGAGAGTTCAACTGCCCAGAAAGATACAATTGTTCAGCTCGCAGCTGCCTGGCTGGGACCCTTAACCACAGCACAGTGGCAGCCACTTTAAATGTGGCTGCTCTGTTCTGGGAATGAAGAGGAAGGTTTTATTCTCTGCCTTGCCCCTCAGCAAAATCTCTTAGCTCCCATTGGCCAGTTTGCAACCAATAGCAGCTGAGATATTTTGCTGGCAGCAGGGGCACCCAATGAAGCTTCCTCCCTCCCTCTCCCCTCCTTCACCCTGCCCAGAGTAGAGCCATGTGGAGCAGCTTGCAACTGCAGCCTTCCAGTTCCTGCAGGGCTGCTGGCTGGGGGCCACCCAGGATGAAGCTTCCTCCCTCCCTCTCCCCTCCTTCACCCTGCCCAGAGTAGAGCCATATGGAGCAGCTTGCAACTGCAGCCTTCAGGTTCCTGCAGGGTTGCTGACTGGGAGCTGCCTAGGTAAGTGCCTCCCAGCCAAAGCCTGCCTCTAGTACCCCCGCGCTCTCCACCCCCCTCCCAACTACCACCCAAACTCTCTGCACCCCTTTCCTTCAGGTCACAACCCCCTCCTTCACTCAAACTCCCTCTCAGACTCCACACCCTCTCCTGCACCCAGTCTCCTACCCCAATCTTCCCTCTGCACCCAGCCTCTGCCCTAGCCCCCAAACCTCCTCAATAGAAATGTGGCCCTTAAGCTCTTGCCAAAATTTTGGAGTGGCCCCCCCATTAAAATTCTTGCCCAACCCTGGTCTACACTGAAAAGTTATATTGGCATAGCTATGTTCGAGGCATATTAAAAATCCCACCCCAAGACACAAAAAAGCTGACCTAACGAACACCCACTGTAGACCGCAAAAAAAACCAAACAAAAAAAACCAAACAAATTCTTGCCCAACCCTGGTCTACACTGAAAAGTTATATTGGCATAGCTATGTTCGAGGCATATTAAAAATCCCACCCCAAGACACAAAAAAGCTGACCTAACGAACACCCACTGTAGACCGCAAAAAAAACCAAACAAAAAAAACCAAACAAAAAACACGTGTTTGGGTTTTTGCCCATGAAAGCTCATGCCCAATTAAATCTTAGAAAATCCTAACAACGACCCCCGGATTTTAGTAACAGTTAATTATAAGACTGCTGTCTCTTTCCTGGTAGACACTGGAGCCCAATTATCCATGATTAAAAGAGAAAACTTTTTCGGGCCTCCACCTTCTGGCAGAAAGCAGGTTTTGGTTACAGAAGTGAACGGCACTACTGTGTCTTACCCGCTGGTCAAAGTAAAGCTGGATATCCCTCTAAACCCCTACCAGCAACCCAGGAAACATGAGTTGATACTTGGGAATGCCAATATACTGGGCATGGACATCCTAAAGGGCAAGGAAGGAATCATTGGTGGGGAAAGGTGGGCATTCGGAGCTGGCTGCAAACCCAGCACAACAACCCTGGAGGAGGGGAGGTTCCTCTCTATAGCGTCAGGTTACTAGCCCAAGCTCCTGCTCTTCCACCATCAGCTGTGACTCATGTAAAACAATACAATGTCCCAGCTGAAGCTGTAGTGCCTGTCACTGAGCTAATTAAAGATCTGGAAACAAGGGGAGTCTTAATTCGCACTCACTCCCCTTACAACTCCCCGGTATGGCCAGTAAAGAAACCTAATGGTAAATGGAGGCTCACAATTGATTACAGAAAATTAAACAGTAACACAGGACCCCTAACAGCAGCAGTCCCCAACATAGCAAGCATTGTAAATACCATACAAACTTGGAACAAGCAATGGCTAGCTGTGCTAGATATAAAGGACATGTTTTTCATGGTCCCTTTACAGCCTGCAGACCAGAACAGATTTGCTTTTACATGGAAGGGTGTCCAATACACTTTCACACGTATGCCCCAAGGGTTCAAACATTCCCCCACTATTTGCCATGGGGCACTGTCAAAGGTCCTAGATGGTTTAACCATGCCACCTAGTATCCAAATGCTGCAATATATAGATGATATCCTAATAGGAGGGGACACTACTGAAGAAGTGCAGCAAGCTGTGGACTTAGTAAAGACTGCCTTAGAAAATCTTGGGTTAGCTTTACCCCCAGATAAGTGCCAGGGTCCCTCTCATGAGGTGAAGTTCCTGGGTGCTGTCTGGATGGGAGGGCGGAGGTCTGTGCCTGATGACACTGTACAGGAACTGAGCCAGGCACCTTCACCTGGGGACAAGTCCCAACTAAGGCAAACTCTGGGAGTTTTAGGGTTTTGGCGAAAACATGTGCCCGGTTTTGCTGTAATTGCCCGACCACTGTATAATCTGCTAAAGAAAAGTTCTGTTTGGGAATGGACCCCTGTACATGAGGAAGCGCTGCAGCAGCTAATAAAATACACATATACCAAGCTCCGGGTCCAATCCATCCCGATGCTCCATTTCACTTGTATCTCACTATAGGAGCTACGGGAATGTCTTATGCCCTATGGCAAGAGAGTGAAACTGCACCCCGCCGCCCCATACAATTCGGCTCAAAGTCATGGCAGGGATCGCAAGCCAATTACACTCCCTATGAGAAAGTGCTCCTGGCAGCCTATACTGCTCTAAGGGAGACTGAGGAGCTAACACAAAATCGCGCTATAACCATACACACTCCCCTTCCAATTATTAAGCCCATATTGGAAGGAAAGGAGCTGCCGCCAGGAGTAGCACAGAAAATGACCACCCAGAAATGGGCACTGTACATACACTACAGGGT